AAAGATGTTCTAGCTTTTGGGGGGGTCTCTAAGCAAGGAAAATAATACAAAAATGCACCCTTACATGTTTTGTGGGTAATGGTAGGTGGAGCTGGTAGGAGAAAAGTATCCTGATTATTAGTTTGTGTATATACATGGGAAAAGCACAGATTGATTAACTTTCTCTCTGAAAAGGCTACTTACCATTCCTTTTATTTAAACAAAGGTGTGCTGTAGATACCTATGTTGCCATTGTACTAAAACATAAATACAAACTCTTATTTATTTGTAATATGCATTCATGGTAATGCGTATTCTTTTAAGCAAGGAATGTAGTGTTATTTAATAATTCACAAAGAACATTTTAGAATAGTATTCTTCATGCTGGTAGATCGATTAGAATTTTTAAATCCAGATATATTTTATTTGGTGATTTTTATTTACAATTTGAAGAGGGGATTTTATTACAGAGCAGTAAAAGTAAATAACATGTTCGAATAGTATAATACGACATGCACATCTCTTATGGGAATAGTATCACCTACCAATTACAGCTTTATGGTAAAATACTGGTGACAGAGCTCTGCAGTATATACACTGAATCCTCTGAAAAGTGATGTAGAAATTGGTTGAATCAACCAGTTCTTGTTTGCTTCTTTTAAAATTACATGTAAGCACATACGCATTTGTAATACACAGAAACGTAACACATATGTGCCTAATTACATGGTTTAGTTTATCAAAATGACTGCTCAAAATTCTATATGTTTAAAAAGTTTACTATGTAGGTCTTTTTGAAATTATGTCTTGAAATGAGCAAAACAACACAAAGATGGGTAGTTCATAAATAAGAAATTCTAAAAATGCCTCTTTAAGAGGATTTCAGCAACTTGTAAAAGTGCTTCTACTTATTCACAGACATCAAGAGAAGGAATGCTGTGAAACAAACTCCAGGAAGCACAAGAAAACGAAAGGGAGAATGTGGAAAAGTGAAACATTGATGGTGGAAGTTCAAGGTCACATGCTGAAGGCAGAAATGGGATACTGTATTTAGTAGAGGGTTCTCCTCCCATCCCCTGCCTTTCTAGGCTGCAGCCAGGAGAGACAACTAGATCAGAAATAGAAAAAGAACATGTTCTAAGGTCGGTAAGGAGAAAAAAGCTAGCAAAGAGTTAATTCTAAAGATTCTGAGAAAGCTGTTGTAAAAGGAGGTGAAGAGAGGGAGACAGTTCCACTAAGTAACTTCAGTCTCTGGGCAGCACAGCTGGGTGACAGTTTGGTGATAGAACCTGGGTTCTTAGGGCTTTGGAATGAATCATGAAGTTCTAGGAAGATAGATTATCAGGGTTGTCTTAAATACCATTATGTTAGTCACCTGTTGTAAAGTTTTTTTTTTGTCTAATTATTATTTCTTTAGTCTTTGCTTCTGAGTTTATTTCCTTTATTATCTCTTCTGTGTATCAGTTCTAATTTAACTGCTGTATTAAACAAGAGGTGCTTAGACCATGGACTGGGGGGTTTGATTCAACAGCTTATTCCCTTTATTTGTCTGGACACTTGATTCAGTAGATTTCCACTTCTATCTGGTGGCAACTAAAGCAAAAAGAAGTCCAAACTAGTCTAAAATTGAAGATGAATCTACATTTAAAAGTAAGCTTTGCCCTGCACATTTTGGAAATGGCCATGTGAAAATTATTTTCAAAGTGTCATTTTCTTTTAATAGAGGATTATGAAATTCACTTCTCTGAAATATCAACATTCCTGCCTTGATGGTTACCTGGAACATTTCTAGAGACAAATAAGTACAGAACTTACTTTTTTTGCCTGAAATATTGAAGTAGTTAAGGTAAAAATAGGTTATCCAGATCAGTGATTCTCAGTACTCTGTGCGGATTAGAATTTCCTGAGAAGCTTTTAAAAAATTACAAATAGCAGGTCCCCGCCCCTAACCAATTAAAACAGGGAGTGGGGTGCTGGCATTGTTCTTTTGTAAAAAAACCTCCCTAGGTGATTCTAATTCCAAGGTTAGAACACCCATCTAGATTATTCCAGGCGAAAAAATAATAAACAAAGAACTACTGTATTTTAATCTGAAGCATTGCTTCAGTGTCATTTATTTTAAAACCACCAGTACACTCAGTCACCTGTAGTTTTATATCCAAACATATTGAGAATATAGCTAAGCCTTTCTGCAGTCCATTCCCAACCAACTGTGCAGGTCTCTTAGCTCCCTACAACCCTGTTTCAATCTTGAACTCAAAGCATTCAGACACTCCTGGCACTTTTCTTCCTCCATGTTTTAGCTTCTTGCTGTTTTCTTTCTAACATAACTGAACTTTGTTCTATACTTGGCATAATGCTATTTATCCTTTAAAGGCCAGCTTCAAAGTCATTGCCTCTGAGACAGCAGGCTAATCATAATTACTTTATATAATGCTGATTTGTATAAATTCAAATCACTTGAATATTTTCTTGAAGAGACGAAGTCACATTATGTAGCAATAAGTATACAGTTAATAATACCTCTCTCAAACTTTAAGTATCTGTCATATTGCTGCTTAGTTACTCCAATATCAATAATTACTTAGGTATATAATCTCAGAAGGCATTTGATTGAAGTTTATGAATTATTTCCCATAGACATTTGAATTATGTCCTGAAAATTCCAGTGCCTTTTATTCCAACCCCTTGAATCATTTTAGGGAAAACCATAATGTATGATTCTATTTCTGCTGAAAATAGTACTATCCAAACTTTAAACAAAGCCCTAATATTTAAAATATTAGAACATTCATATTCTTTTGATATGTTGATTTTTCACATTTGCTTATAGTATGTGTTTCAAATAGGAAATAAGGGGATATAATTTCTTTTTCTTTACTCCTTTTAGCTTTGATGCCACAGGAAGTCAGCTTGCTAACTCCCTGATACCTGATATTTCCCTGACAAAAAAGACTCTGATGAGAATCAGCATTTTCCCCAAGATAGGAGTTGTGTATTCTCATCTTCCTAAAGATACATATGTCCCTTAAAAGCATCCAGAATTATTTCCTGCAAAGCTTCCTCAGTCATAGGAGCACTTCTTAGAGCTGCTATCAGAAAAGCTGAGGGAAGAAAAGCACCATTCCTGCAACTGAAAAAACAAATGCAGCCTAAAATAGGCCAAGCACTTGAACATCAGCAAGATTGAGGGGGTAGGAAAGAACATTTTAAATAAAAAATTGATTAAAAAATTAAAGCTTATCCTTCTGTTCTCTAGCTTAAGTTTTCTGACTTCTTTCTCACTGCTGGAATGTTGTGAAATATACAGATGGTAGAGGAGAATTTGTGTTAATACTTTGTATTTCTTAATTTAGGAAGGTGGTTGGTTGGTTAGGGTGGTCTGCAGCACAATCTGTAATTACACAGATTGCAATTTTTATCTAGTCACAAAGGAAGAGTTACTTTTTGGGGACAATATCAGGATCTCTTCAGATAGGAAAAGTTTCTGTAATTGAGAAACTACTCAACTTTTACGCAAGAGCCCATAACATCCAGGTAATTCCATGCCTATGTGGCCTGTTCGTTTCCCCCAGGTCTGTACTGATCATGACCCCAGATTCTCCATCAAACTCAATCCCTGCCGAGCTACAGGCAATAGCCCCGCTGGGTGCGGACTGCAGGCCCACCACTGGAGGGCGTCTGGATGCTTCCAAACAGCTTCGAAGCGCCTGGAAATGTAGAGCTCGAGGACTGGGAAGTGCAGGAGGAAGAACGTGATATTTGATTTTATTGGGCTAATAAGTACAGGAGAGAACAGACAGGTTTGGGAGCCAAACTAAGCTGCTTGCTTTCTTGGGATCAGCCCTTCTTGCTGAGCCAAGCAAACTCCCTAGAGAGCAAGAGAGCTAATCATACCACGTAGGCCCGAGCCCGTGGAGCCCCGCGAAGGCGAGTCTCGAGGGTTTGCAGCCCCGCAGCGCCGGGCGCCTGGCTAGCTTCCCGGGCTCCGGAGGACACCGTGACGCGTCCCGAGGCGCGGGGACCGCCTCATTATCAGGCAGTCGCGCTTCGGTGGCGGCCGGGCTGAGGTGCTGCAACCTGCTCCAGAAGTCCGGGAACGCAAGGCCTTTTCCGATAATAAAGGAGCTCCTTCCCTGACCCCCATTTCTTGACGCATCGGGTTCGCTCAAAGCGTTTATCCTTTGGGGAGGGGGCAGCGAACCAACCTCGGAGTTGAAATAGAAAAGGTTAAAGGGGTTCCTAGTGGGCTCCTCTGCCGCAATTCATTTCCTCCCGGTCAAAGGTTCGCACTGATATGTAATCACTTTACACTGTGGTTTTTCTCTATTAAAAAACAAAAGTGTTTTCAGAGCATCACTTTGAAGTCTTGCTTCCTGCTCGTGAGCCTTTAAATCCCTGGTAGGAAGAGGGGAGTTGAAAGGCACATGAGAGATGCTCAGGTTTCCAGATAACCTGGCGCCAGGCAACGTGCGTTGTGAACAACAGGGCAGAGATTTACAAGAACACGTATTCACTGAGGTTCCCTGCCAGCCGGCTGCTGGGACTGTGTGTCACTTGAGGGGCCCAGGAGACAGATTTCGGCTCTCTAGCTACAGGATGGGAACTGGTTTCTTTATAATTGAAAGACCCTACTCTCAGGTAAAAAGATGTCAAATCATTCCTCAGCTCAGATGGAATTCAGCATCCAAAGGGTTACGCGCGTCTGCTGGGTTCGGGCGGAGGAGAGGGCGCCTGGGCACTCCCAGTAATTCAATTAGTCAGGTTTCTGGAAGGTGGGGCCGGGGAGTGGGGTAGGAGGCGTGGGGAAGGAGGAGATTAGGAAAACGCCTCTTTCTCGTGGAGCAGACCAATCCGGTTAGAGTGAAGAGAGAGGAAAAAACCCCCGAGCTGTAAGCAAACAGCAGGCCGTTCCCTGACTGGCTGCTCTAGCTATCCCCCACCCCTCCCAAGTAAACTGCAAGGAGGAGAAAAAAAAAAAAAAAAAAGCAGCCCACATGACCCGGGCCGCGGCAGCAGCAGCGCTAGCTAGGCGCGGGCTGGCGGCGCCTCCCCCTCTGGGTCCGGGGCTCACACCCGCGCTCGCGCCGACCGCCTGCCCCGCGCCCTGGCTACACGCCCCCCGCCCCCCCGCGCCGCCCACGTCCACGTTCACGCGCGCGGCCTCGCGCTCCGGTGCGGCGGCTGCTGCTGCTGGGTCGACGCTGCTGTTCGCTTTACACGCAGGTCATTAACGAGGGGGCGTGCCCGAGGAGATTTTTTTTTCCCATAAAGCATTTTTTCCTCTCTTTTTTTTTTCCTCTTTTGCAAAACTGACTTTTACCCCTTTCCACTTCTCTCCAGTCGTTTCAATCCCTCCCGGGCTGCTTGTGCTGCTACAGCCGCACTCAAGTTTATTTTCCCGCCTGGTAAAGGTTTTGGGATTCTGTTGGTGATTTTCACCTCTTGTTGCTGCTGTACCCACGGAGGGAAAGAGGAGCAGCTGCGGGAGGATCGGGAAGGTTTTCTGATGTAGTCATCGGGGAGGTGCTACACGCTTGTGCGCTCGCTCTTTTTTTTTCTCCTTTCGCATTTCAAACTGATTGATGCATCTCTACAAGTTGCCGGGCTTGGGGTCGGACCAGTTGGAGTCGCAGGGACTCTTCTAAGAGCTCACCCGGGTCTCTTGGTACGGCGTCTGGGGGTTCAGTCTTGCTCCTGGAAGGCGATCGGAGACTGACATCAGCCCATCCAGGAGTTGAAGGGATTCATTTGAAAGTGATTGTTTCCCCTCCCGTTCTCCAGTCGAATAGTTGGGTTGGCGTCGTCCTGCAGGTTTGGGCATCCCAGCTCCGCCTGGCTGGCTGGTTCATAACCTCGGCTCTTCGTTCACTCCAGTGTACTCACACCCGGCCAAGAAAAGCACGCGCGAGAAATCCCCGAGACTCCGCCAGCGGCCGGGGTGTCGCCTCCCTCCTCCACCGCCGCCGCCGTCGCAGTCTGAGCCCGCCGGGGGACCTGCCGGAAGACGCGAAGAGCCAAACTTTTCTTTGAGGTTTCAGAGGCAAGACCGTTCCTCTCCAGCTTAGCTGCCGCTTAACCAGTTCCAGGACGCCGGCGGAACTGGGTTTGTGGCAACAGATCCCCACCCTTTTCGGCGCGGCGCGGCGCACCGCCCCGAAGCCGCAGCACCTACGACTCCTCCGAGATTTCCAGGGGTCACCCGGTTAAGGCACAGAGAAGGCGGGGGAAAGGGGGTCCTCAGACTCTTGGGGCCACAGGCGCGAC